CAAACATACTTATTATGTTAGAAAAATGTATTTTATCATCCTCAGCAGTAGATTGAGATGTATAGAAATAGTCATATTCCGTTTATGCAGTCAGTAGTTTTGGTTCCGAGTCCCTGCTTTAAATTATTCTCATTCCTTCGTGCCACTTGTTACGAAATAGTCCTCTACTCTTCCTTATCTGCTCTTAGAATCCAATACGCTGTAAATGACAGCAGATTTCAGTCTCGTAAGAGCTGTAGAAGTTTCGTTGTAAAGAGGATTGGATCGGCGACAGATTCTTCTCGTTTTAATAGTTTGTTCCATCACTGGGATGCTGAGGAGGTTCTCCCAGTCTATGAAGACACCGTTACTGTCGAACTTTCAATTTCACAGACTGAACCCCCCTTAAACAGGGCTGCATTTTCCCACAGACACAGTGTCAAATATCTGGTCACGTTTGTGATCGCTGGCCAGAAGAAAGAGACTGAAAATAGGGGATGTGATCAGACACACACGCCATTCACAAAAGAAAATATGAAAGATCCTGCCGCAACACTACACAAATTTGTTCGCACCTTTGGCTCCACGGTTATATAATACTTCGTTAAATAGGCCAATTTTACAATTATAAATAGTTGTTTTCAATAAAATTATAAAATCTTAAGGAGTTACATATTTTTTGCCATGCATACGCAATGAGCCGTTCTTGAAAAATGTATTTTGATTATTCGTGTAGATTGGACCGATTCGAACTAAAAATGGAGATCGCCCAAGCACGTTCAAGTGTAGACAAAACAATAGCACATCTAATCACATTTCGTCCAGTGATTTCTGAGGTGAAAGACGAATATAACCTCCTTTGTGTGCGTTCAGTTCGTGCAATTCTGCGTAAAAAGGACATAAAATACAGCGGCGTAACCGAATCCTAGACAGACATGTCACGACGTTTTTGTCAACACTGACCTAATTTTGGCCCCTAAAATTTAGACTCGAGAAGTACATAAAACAGTTCCTCTGTGAGTGACGGGCGGCATCGGTGACTGACAGGCTTCTTTAAACAGCTTCGTAAAAGTAGCCACTTTGATTTGTTGCTTTGTTTGAAATTGTTGTGGGCTGTAACATCTCAATCAACGTCATAGTAGTGGCTTGATCAAGTGATGTAAATAAGCATCAGGTTGTGCGATGCGCGAAAAGGCCTTAGCGCCCTGTAGAGTGCAGCCCTCTTTCATGAAGGATTAGACCTTAGGGAGTTTGTTATTTCTGATGTTTCTAGCGCAGTTGTCCGGAGTCGTTGATGGTGCAAGATCGATTTATCAGTCCAGAAGAAAATGTTTTATAAACAGAGGGCGCAGGAAAATATATGGATCTCAGAAAGAACAATGTAGGATAGATCCTATTACGTGAAGAGACATTCCCTGATTACTCTGTGTCGATCACGATGTATTAAGGTAAAATCTTTGAGGCTTCGATGGGGGATAAAAGGAATACCTATAGAATATTGGTGGGGAACCTTTTTTTGGAAAACGGCAGGTGGAAACATTTATAAGGAGATGAGAGTATACCATTGCTATTAATCTTAAATGCATAGCGTTTAGGGTGGATGAAACTGGTCCAGGATATTGTCTAGTGACAAGCTTTGGTATTGGCATTGTTGAATCTTTGCATTCTTCTGTCTGAGGGTTCGTTAGTTGATGGTATAGTAACAGGAATACACAGAATATAGTTGGTTTATTGTGACATTATGTTAGCAATTTTTTAACACGTTGCTTATAGAGTGCGCCATTTAAAGTGCAGCCCAACAACTAAGTAGTCTACTGCGGTACAAAAATGAAGTGGATCTTAAGTCAAGGGCATCCTTGTTGCTAGGCCGCTGCTCTAGACAGTTGCTCAAAAGCTGTGCAGTTTCGAACGCGATGTATTCAAGAACAGAACGTGTGTTCACTCTCGAGAATTATTTCGCATCGAAATCGTTTGCTGCTCTTCGTGAAGAAAGTACCGAACAAGGCAACAATACACCGTCTATTGACAAAATATCGGAACACAGTAAATGTCTGTCTCTCTGCTCTGATGTTTCACGTAAGTTTCCTCAGTAACTCCTAACAAAGGCTGGAAAATCATTTAAAATAAGCTGCTGTCATTTCCTTTCACGTTATTATCAATTCATCTTTAGACAAATTTGTTATTAAAATCTCTTGGTTTTTGAGATATTTTTTTAGAGTTTTCCCTCACATGTAGTGTTTGACTGCTTTCCTACATATCTGTTTGTCTTTGTCCGCTGTGGAAAATCAACACCTGAAGTGTTTCTGTGAGACCGCACTTGGCGCCACCAGCTGTGTTTGAAACAGTCACGCGTCACTACACTTCTTTCAAATATTGTCGTTCTATAAATCATCGCGTTGTTCAAATGTATTACCAATAAAACTATATCACGAGGTTCTGAATGTGTCTGGGAATGGTCTAGTATCGACACACCACGGAATTTTCTTCGCGGTCTAGGATTCAGAATACAAAAGTGCAAAGAATTGCAATACACTAACCGAAAATAAGATAACAATAAATCAAAAGTAATTTAAACTATTGAAATTGTTATATTTAATTGTTAGTGTGAGGATTACGCCTGTTTCTTGCTTTCCAAAATTCTTCATTCACTCTCGCAACCTCAACCCCTAAGACTGGGCCGAAAGTGAAGAACTGGAGAAGCTGCCAACACTGAACAAATCAAAACTTTTGGTGTAAGGTCTCTGGTGCCATTGAATTTGCTGTTCATTCATACAGTATTTGAGAGTGGTAGAAGGGCTAGGAGAGAATATGAGTCCGTTTCTGACATTTCTCACGACAAACACGTTTTATAAAAATTTAAAGGAACAAACAGCTGGTTACAAATAAGCCATTCACTAATTAAACTTAATCATTCAAATAAGTATGAGGCTCAATGTACAACATAATAATTCTTAAGCTAAAAACTGGTACCAAAATACAATTTTAATAACAAATATGACGAGAACTGGGTTTGTTAAACAACTCCATGGAGCAGAGCCTTCTTCAGAAATTAATAGTATGCTCAGCTAGCCAAGAAATTTACCGCCTCTTGGGGAACCCGAAGGTTCAGTACTGCGTTCACAAGAGCTCACTATCAGTCTCTGTACTGAACCAGATGAATTCAATCTACACCCTCCAACATTATTTCCATAAGATATATTTTAATAATTTAATTCCATCTATTCCTTGGTTTTCTAAGTGATCTTCTCCCTTTATGCTTTACGACCAGCATTTTGTACAGAATTGAATTTGCGTAAATATTGAAACTCAAGAAGCTGCATGAAGAAGTAATGGAGTAACTTCAGGACATTTTAGGTGTTGATATCAGAACAGTGTAAATATTTTAAAATATTTTGGTTTATGGTGTTCTTATGCTCTTCACTGCTCCCAGTACTGATTCACTTACAGAGCTGAGTTTTGGGGTAACGGATGAAAATGGTCTTGTGCATAAGCATCGCGTTATCAAGATCAAGATCTCTGAACATTCTTAACTTTGACACTAGATTCAGACAGGAAGTCAGCTTCGTGCTCTGGCCAACCTTGTCCTCATGCAAAGAGCCCGGGGGTACCCTCAGATCAGAAGATGGATGTATCCCAGAGCCAGTCTCAAAGCAACAAAATACTACACCCCCGCCATCTGGCGACTTTCCTATGTAATTTCCGCCATTGAAAATCGTAGTACGCGGAAACAGTAGTAGGTGGCTCTTCTGGGTTGTTGCGCCTTGTAGTTTACCGATGTTTCAGAAGTTATTGTTGCCGCCATCGTCAGAGCTATGAGCAAGGACCCCTGAAATGTCGGTGAACTTCTACTAGGCTACACGGCGCAACAACCCAGAAGATATCCATCTTCATACTTGCCGCCGTGAGAGCCTGAAATCTCACTTAGATAGCAGGGACGTGGTACTTTATAATACCGTTCAAGAATTATTATCCCAACACATTTTTGTCAATATTTCTCTATATAAGACTGACAGGTAGGTATAGTAGAAATTATTAGCTTGACATATTCCAGTATTCGGAAATTGCAGCAGAAGTCGAGAGCGCATTTTCATCCCCCACAACTGCCCCTGATCCTCTTCATGTGGCGAATATTCAGTATTTGACACGTAACCCTCAGTACCGTAGAAATATGTACAGACAGCCGGACTTCGGCCTCGAGAGATAACATGTACCACTGCAGTTAACAAAATTATTTGCACTGCGAATAAAATATGTATATTCACTCACCTATAAGCCACTAAATGGATACATACCAAAAGGATGGCATCTTAGTACGTACGATTTTCAGTGGTGAGTTGTACATTCAAAAACAATAAAAGTTTCACGGGTCCGCAAATCCTTAGTTCTCAAATTAGGACCCTTCTTCCATGGGGGAATTTGACGGACAAAGCGCCTGGTAAGCATAACACGTGGCCGTACACACATTGTACGGCTGCACTTTAAATTTCCTATTGCACAGTGGTGGTACGTACTGCTATTGAAACGTCAAACACAAACAGAGCATCAAAAGTGTACAAGATGGCGTGACACGGTCAGCGTCTGTGTATGATGGCTGGCTAGCAAGTTCTGAGCCCTTTTAGCTGAAATGTGAGTGTCTATTATCGAATTGTCCTGTAGAAGATGAGTGCAATACTTTTCGGTGGATACGTAGGCTTAACACGAATTGGTACTGTGAATTGTGACCTGACAATGATACAGTTCCTATCGAAATATGTTGCCTGAATTTCATAGGTTAATGATAATAAAATGTCATGTCGACTTTATATTTTCGATTAAATGATAGCGTTCATTGACTGTCAATTTATGAAGAATGCCTTTACTAACTGAGAACACAGAATTTTTAGGTGATGAATAACTTGTTCCATAAAAACATATAATAATAGGTATGCTAAAAATGTATTTCGTGATATTATTTATTACTAGTGACACATTAACCACACCAGACATCGTGCTCCATACTGTAGCTTACAAAATCAAACGTATCATATTTTATAATTTCTAAATGAGGGCTGGACATAATCATTTTGAAGCAAAGTGTGTTCGTGAGACGAAGTAAATGTCTTGTATTTGATCCTTTTTCGAGACGCAACACGTTGCACTGTTAGCTCCACAAAGAACGCAATGACACTACTGAGAAGTCCACAAGCAAGTATCAGGAAGGCCACCAGCAAATCTTCCATAGAAAACACTTTGAGTGAATCACTGCCACTGTTTTCACTTCTTTGAAATGCTGTCATATTGAAATAAGTGTCCTTACTCCACTTATCTACAATACCTGATTCTACAAGCTGTGTTATTATGTGGTTGATTCTGAACAAAAACGGGGATCCCTTAGGCACTATGTACGCTAGAGAATACGTCCTTGGAAATTCTCGAACGATATGTAATAGCAAAGTTCCATCTGAATTGCGATAAATAAGTACATTATATATTGCATTGCTTAGTCGAGTTAACGCAGCCGTGTCTTTGTGCTTAGCGACGTAATCAGCGACGCCTTCCTTTGTACTAAGGTAGGTTACTTTATTACTGAGGTGTTTCACAAGAGGCGACTCTTCTGCACTGAATGTGTTCTCGATTAAATTGATAGATCCTGTAGCAATGACTAAACCACTGGCATCCAGTTCTTCTAGCGTGTTGACATCAGGATAGTAGTCAGGCTTTGATAGCACAGTGACAAGTTTCCCTTGAAACAACGAAGTTGTAATTATCCCGAATACAAGACACGTAATCACAAATACTTTCTGTGATCGAGACAAAGGAATTCGAACGAAGGAGAGTGATAGGAATAGGGGTAACATTTCTATAAACGTGGAAATTAAACTGGTGTCTTTGTTAACAGGCATAAAGAAAGAATATAACTTCTGTAGAATATGAGATATTATACAGGAGCCTACATACACACAGACAAGGGCGAGGTAGACGTGTAAGGGAAATACTCTGAAAAATGCAAGCCATTTTGGGAGACGTTCAGCCTTCGGCACTACGATACAGAGATTATCAAAACCAACGGGAAAAGTGTACTCAATATCTTTCGTTCCGTATTCTTTCACAAAACGAGAATTGAGTGAAATGTCAGCTCTGTCATATAGAATGTCGCCCAGTGAGCCAGTAAAGGTGCCATTAGTTTCAAACATATAACCGTATTCTTCACCGTCCTTGGGACTGCCAGAAATGGCTGTGAAGTTCATTTGCTTTGCCAAGTTTCTCATAAAGAATCCATCCACTCCAATGTAATCGATAACTTTATCACCGGAATGTGCTGGAAACGAAGAGGGTGGTCTTGTAAATAGTGAAATGCGGATTGGATATCCTCTTAGATTGCTTAATGTATCAGTATAACTTCTGACTAAATTAAACACATTATATTTGTTATATACAACAAGTTTTCCACTTGAATTTAGCGATTTAATGAAGGGGTTAAATGTTGCCAATTGAACAATATGTCCTGCCTCCAATGTACGATAATTTGAATACTTAATGACCATCGTAATGACATTTATAATGCCAAGCTCGTTCCACAACGCCTTGAGAATGTGACTGTACTTATTTTCCATGTAGTTTCTATTGACTTCGTCACGATCATTTTCAGACGGTCCCAGAAAGATTATCAGAAAATTGCCTCTTGGGTTTCGAAGAAATGGATAGGTACTAATCTGTTGTATGAACTTTAGATACTGCATCAGTGCGTCTTCTCTCTCGACTATGAGTACAAATGCTTGGTGCAGTATACTTAAATTCTTCCACAGACGTCCAGGAAAAACTTTAAAATCTTCCGGTAGAACAACGTGCGAAACTATTATCTTCTCTTTGATTGTATTGTGAATGAACGGTAACAGTTCTACAACAAAGTCATCTGCTACTTGCGTGTCTATTGGAATGATAACTACAAAGCGAGATTTACTGAAGTACCATAAACAGACGTTTCGAAGAATCTCCATGTCTGATTCTCGTACAAGTAAAGGCTGGGGGTTTCTTAAGAGACGCTGCAGTGATTGATACTGAACTGCTGATGTCGAACACTGTGACAGAAATATAAGAGATAGAACCAGTAAGGTCGCAGATGATACTGTCAGTGGGAAAATCATCGTTTATATCAACCAAGTCTGATCTGATCTTCAAATATAATTTCTTCAAGCGACGCGTACGACGAATTATAATTATTGCTCCTCAACCTGGAAGGAAAAACAGATTTGAAAATATGCTAAAGACATATTATGTATCTACATATATAACCACAATTACCTTGCGTTTTATATATATATATATATATATATTGAAATGTTGGTGCTTGCATCACAATTTTTCTTTCATTATAACCTGTCTATAAGCTGAAAAATCCACATTCTTATTTTCACATTTTAAAGTTACACTTCTTGGAATTTTGTCTCGACGTATTCTGAATGCCACTTTTAGCATTCTTCTGTCGATATATAATTTGAAGCTTCCGCTGCGACGTAACGCAATAAAAATCTCTCGGGCATTCAGCCGCGTCAAATGGTTGAAAGTCGAAACCGACGTTTAGGGACCATCTCTGTACCCATCATCAGGAGTTCTGATGTAACTGGGTGTTGCGGTTGTCGCCCACATATACTGGCCGGGCATGTATACGTTATTTGGTTCAGATTCACAATTATAGTTTTACTGATTATTTGATATTTTATAAACACCTATTTTACTTATTACTATTATGTTGCAGTCTAATAAACCATGATTATTTCTGCAAGAATTATTACCGAACTGATTCAGGAAATCTTGTTTAAACTCTCCTAGATCCTCTTGACCATGTTTACGATAATGTTGCTACTTGCAAATAGCTTGTCTGATAGCGCAGTGGCAATATAAACTCATGACATGCTACTTTGGTGATTAGTGATATATTACTTGCATGCAATTTGTCAGAAATATAAGCCGTCCTATTTCCAATCCCTCTTTTTATTCCACAATAATCAGCTCAGGCAAGGCGACAGGCATGATGATGTGTCAAACCACGCAAACAATTCACTTAGTGAGCGGAAACAGCTGAAGTTATAAATACTACATAAATTTTCTTCAGAGAAGCGTACCAAAAAACACACATTAATTTTATATGAACGACGTGAATGATTTCCATGTCTGTACGACGTCAAGAAACATTTGTACCACCACCACAACGACGACAACATGTCGCATGTAACACGTATTAAAAAAAATGTATTTCTGAAATAGCTGCTGCACATTTACCTCAGGGGCAAAGTTTGTCTCGGGTACATAGAATTAAACACCCCATAAAGTGATGAATAGATGGGATAATAATAATAAAGAGCCAAAACTGGATTTATAATTGCAAGAAAGAGGAGTAAAACTTTCTTACTTGCATTTACTCTTTTGAGTACCACATTAATCTGATTATAACCACGTTTACTAGTGTAAATTTTCTCTCATAAAACAGTGATTGAAAGTAAAGTACTTTCGGGTATATTAACAACGTAGAATGTATTATCCAGTGTCTGACCTCTCTGTTTTCCACGTGACAAGTCTAGAATCTCAGAACGGACAACTCTACAGTTTGTGACCCTCGTAACTGTTATGCCTTTATAAATTTGATGAACCATTGTTTAATTTTTATTCCCTTAATTTCACTGTGACTTTTATATGTTAATTACTTTACAGTCTGTGCCTAAAACACTGGAAGAAATAGCATATTCTGATAACTATTTAAAATCCACATTCTCTCAGGCGAATTGCGAAATTGTGTTACAAACACCTGACAGACGTTTTTAATTTCCAAGAAAAATTCCGCGGGGTAGCTCATACTTTACCTTCACGATACGATGTTAAAATTATATCTTACTACCAGGAGAAGTAGGTAGCTTATTCCTTTCCACTCATACGTTTCGTTATTGGCTGCTGATTTGAGTCTTGTCGCCTTACGTATCCAATCACTTTATGAACTCCCGACTAATGGTTCTTGTAGTTACATGTACAGAACTAGCCGTCGCCTACTTCAGGATAAAGGTATTTATGAATGCCTCTTTCATGTATCTTATCTAGGACAATATCGCGGACTTTATATGCAGCCAATTGGCCAAGTCAACACGACTTACATCAATATGCTACATACATGCAAGAATATTTTTTTTAAATTACATTTCAGATAAACGGTAATGATTACATGTTACAAATTTATGCATTTTATAACTAATTTAGGTGCCTGTAAAATACTCATAATGGCAAAAATGGGAAAGAAGCTTATGGACTCGAACATTTTTAAACTCTTCGGTAACTATAGGAGCTAACTGTACAATTCTGACATTACGTAATCTCCTAAAAACGATAACACATTAATTATTTGATGACTGAAAAAGTTCCATTAGTTTGATTATGCCAAAAAGTGAGCTGAAATTAAAACCAAGCCCTTCAGAAAGAGTCGTTTTCTGCGACCAGTGAACTAATGCTCCTCTTTCAGATCATAGCTAATCAAATAGTTTATGTAATTCCAATTATTATACTGCTATCACAATATAAGATTTAACCCTAACCTAAACGACTTCAGCCCACTTCGTTTCTTTGTATAATGTCACTTAAAGATTCATTTTAGCGTGTTTCCACCCATATATTTCTAGGTCGTCTGAGCGATTTCTTTCCACGAGGCTTTTCACTTACGCGTTGTTTCCGTTCTACACGTCCCATTCATCTCAGGGTTCGTTTAATCGCTTTAGCAATGTTAGGTGAACAGTAGATCTCCAGATTCCGAAGCTCCTCGTCCCTTCAGTTTCCTTGCGTCCAAACACCCCCGTCTCGTTGCAGTCAATGCACAGCCCTGACACGTCCAAACCACTATTTGGCGAAGTTTCCTAGAATGATCGATCTTTAAGCCCCTCGGTTCGCCTCTGTCATTTATCCCACGGAAAAGGTTTGTGTCACAAGATAGTGAAATTCGGGGACCTCCATGCACTCAACCATTAAGAGACGTAAACTTCATGTCAGCGTTCTCATACTTTTCTCTGTGAGGTTTCCATTTAACTTCCACGATTTAGTAACGGAGTCAGTGCGGGTAATGAAATGAAGTTGGTGAGATGGATCCCACTCGATCAAGAAAGAAGAAAGAGTATGCAGAGAAAAATGTAGTAGAGGGAAACCAAGTTTCACGAAACAGTATGCTTTTTTCCTTTTGGAAATCAGCCTCGGCCATAAAAATAACACCTCATGTGTTAAAGCTATCAGGCTTGAATGCTTTTAAAATGAAGTCTTCTGAAAGCAAAGTATAATCTTAACATGCAGTAGGCAGTGTGAATGAAGACAACTTGCATTCAGTGACAAATATTACACACCTGTGTTTATATAGCTTTTATTTCTGTATGAGCTGTCAACTTTTCAAATGTAAATGGCAAAGAAGCAAGAATTCATAGACTATAATATTTTTTTAGAAATGCTGCCTTGCAATGCATGGAAGTCAAACACTATACAGGGTCTACCTGATGGTCTAAAGACTTTAAAATTCATGTAGATCTTCTGTAGAAGTCCTTGATAAGTCCTACAGTTGTGCCGGAGAAGTCGTTGAGAGCTTATGTGGATATTCTTTAGTCATGGAGCAGTGCTTCGAAATTCCTGGAAGGTTCTTTGTAATTACTTAATGATGTGTGTGTTTGTGTATGAACGCAATGCATAATTTTCACGCACTGTGATCTGTTTTAAGAAAGTATAATCGTATAGGCCTAAAATTATATCCATTTATATTTTGTGCAAAGTGCGTATTGTATTAGACCGGTACGAAGAATAAACTTGCGGACGGACGAACGTACTGTATAGAACACCTATTTATCACCTCTGGCTCTAAATCCGTCCATAGCCTCCGAGCCAAAATACCTCATCCAAAGTGTTTCCCACCGAATGTCACAAAATAATGAACAAGAACCCTTCTTATCCGAAAGATAGTCTGTCCGTATCATGGTTTAGGGCGAGATATTCTATTCTCAACTCAGGCGAATACTGGGACGACACCTTGACAGGCCACGAACTCTTCAATCCACAACGTCCTTTCACCCTTCGATCACCCTGTAGTAACCCTCATAGGCCAGCAGACATGAATAGCGCTGTTAAATAAACCCATTGAATCTACGTATTCATCACATTCTGTACTTGGAGAGGAACCCTCGTTCTCCTGAAGACTGTGCTTATCGATCTACCAGCAGATCAAACAAATCGAATTTGATGAATGACAAGTTTACTT